TACATGCCTTCATGGGTAGTGAAAGTACAGAGTATTTTCAATCGCTCCCTCCTGTTCTTTATAACATTGCTGTCACTCATTTCACTTATCCACGAGCTCTAATTACAGAATGTTGACATTATTATTTTGAACAGTATTCTCTGTCAGATCAATTTAGAATAAGAAAAATTAAAAAAAGAAAAATAACAGATTTTATTTTACCTTTATATATTCCTCTCTGAAACTATTTTTTTAAAAAAATGTAGAACCATTTTAAAACTAAACCAAGTTTCCAACCTATAACATTTCCATCTCTTTAAAGAGCTTTTCAAAACATTTCTTGCAGATCAGGTTCACTGGTGATAGTTTCCCTCAGTTTTTGTCTAAAAAGTCTTTATTTTTCTTCTACTTTTTAAAGAATAATTTCCCTGGATATCAAATTCTACATTTTTTTTCTTTCAACACTTTTATTCTCTTCTTTCCTAGTTTCTGAAGATAAGTCCAATGTAATTTTTATCCCTTTTTCTCTGTCGGTAAGGTTGCTTTTCCCCATCTGGCTTCAAGATTTTCTTGTTCTTGATTTTCTGCTGTTTTGAATATATATGTCCAGGTATTGATTTTTTAGTATTCATCCAGTTTGTGATTCTCTGAGCTTCCTGGATCTGTGGGTTTGTGTCTGCATTAATTTTATTTCATTTTATTTTTAAAGATTTTATTTATTTATTCATGAGAGACACAGAGAGAGGGAGAGGCAGAGACACAGGCAGAGGGAGAAGCAGGCTCCATGCAGGAGGCCCGACGTGGGACTCGATCCGGGGTCTCCAGGATCACACCCCGGGCTGACGGTGGCACTAAACCGCTGAGCCACTCGGGCTGCCCTCTGCATTAATTTTAGAAAATACTCAGTCATTATTATTTCCACTAGTTCTTTTCTTCCTTTCTTTACTTCTCCTTCCAGGTTTCTCATTATGCCTGTTACACATTTTGTCATTTCCCTGGAGTATGTACATATTGTTATGTTTTCATTCTTTTTTCTCTTTGCATTTCAGTTTTATGATTTTCTATTGACATCTACATTCTCTTTTTTGCTGTGTCCAGTATACGTATGAGCCAATCAAAGATATTTTTCATTTCTGTTCATGTGCTTTAGCTTTCTAGCACTTCCTCTCAATTCTTCCTTAGTGTTTTCATTTCTCTGCTTACAGTCTCCTGCTCCTACATGTCCACTTTCCTCCTACTTCAAAGACTAGAGTGAGACGGGGTTGAGTATTTTCATTCCTCTAGATTCATAAACCTTTAGTTGGTTAGGTAAAATAGTTTCCTTTAATGGCAGGGTTGATAAGGAAAACAGCTCTGGGCATGTTTCCAAATGGTCACTTTTCCTCTTTCCCTGACAGGATTTTTCTCCTATCTTCACACTAAGAACCTGACAGAGCTTCTAAAGGTAAAACTCAGGAAAATGTGGGTAGTCTCTCTTCACCCGTAACAAGTGGGAGCAATTTAAGTTTTTTTTTTTTTTTTTTTTAAGATTTTATTTATGAGAGAGAGAGAGAGAGAGAGAGAGAGAGAGAGAGAGGCAGAGACACAGGCAGAGAGAGAAGCAGGACATGGGACGCGATCCCAGGTCTCCAGGATCACACGCTGGGCTGAAGGCGGCACTAGACCTCTGAGCCACCTGGGCTGCCCAACACTTTAAGTTTTTAACTCTCAAGCTAGTCCATGAGTTTAAATTCTCATGATCGTCCACGATGAGCCTTCAGCAATTTATCAATTGCAGTTTAGGGTGTCCCTACCCGTGCTGACTCCAGCTGCCAATCTCTGCTCCCTCTAAGCTGTGCTTTTTAAATGTCTGTCTCTCCAATTTAGGAGTCAGTAGTTTACCTGCTGACCTCAGTTTTTCATGGATCTAGAAAGAGTTGCTGATTTTTAGTTTGTTCCACTTTTTCTTATCGTGAGGATGGAAGTAACTGACCTTCAAGCTCCAAACTCTTTATGCATTGGACTGGAAACCTCTAAATTACTTATTCTCTTTCCTAAAATTGGCCTGATCTACAAATATGACTGGAAGGAAGAGGATAAATCTGTTTTGTCTTCGTTTCTCCACCTTTTATTTCTCTATGTCCTCATGTCCACTCATTCTATTACCTCGAAATCCATTAGCATCAGCTTAGGGGTGGGAAGAAGAGGCTCTTGTAAAGGGAAACCATGGTGCCCTCTGTAACAACTGCCTAAGAGCTGATGCTTCTGGAAGAAGATAGTTTTGTACACTTTGGAGATTCACTCAAATTCAGGAACTCCAACACCATCATTCTGAGATACACAGAATGAATGCTCCAGCCAGCATGTCAAAATTTCCATGCGGATCCTTTCCTGGTGGCTTATTTCATACTTCATTCTACTCCCTGGTTTGCTTTTCCTTTATTTCATTCTACTGGAAATGCTTCTCTTCTTTTTTAAAAAAACATTCTAGTAGCGCTACGAGTTGAAATGTGTCTCCTTGAAAAGATACAATAAAGTCCTAAGCCCAGTATCTCACAATGTGACATTATTTGGAAATAAGGCCATTAGATAATCAAGTAAAAAAAAAAAAAGATAATCAAGTAAAAATGAGGTCATTGGGGTGTAGTCTAATGCAATATGACTATAGTCCCTACATGGAGGCAAAAATTTGGATGCAGAGACAATACACAGGGAGAATGCCATGAGAAGATAGAGGTAAAGATTGGGATAGAGCATCTACAAGTCAAGGGACATCAAAGATTCCAGCAAACCACCACACCCTAGAAGAGGGACATGGAAGAAAATTTCCCTCCAGTGCTCAGAACCAACATTGTCTACACTTTCATCTTGAATTTCTAACTTCTAGTAATGTGAGAAAGTAATTTTTTTTTTTTGCTGTTGTCATGAAGCCACCTACTTTAAAGTACTTCGTTATTGAAAGCCCTAGAAAATGAATACAGCAGAGACGTACCAATATGTCTACGAGCTGTTGAGAAAACTCAACAATTATCTTTTTGTCATCACAGGCTCCCTCAATTGGTCTTCCATTTAAGTATTTCTAGGCAAGAGAGATGGGTAATCACCTTTGGGACTGCCATTTCCCAAACTCCAAGGTTACTGGTCAAGCCTCACCCCACCACATCTCCAAATCTCTTACAACTCCCTTCCTCAGTGGCAGCAAGGAGTGGCCAGGAACTAGATCATGCAGGATCTTGGAGTTTCATGAAAAAACTTTGGATTTTCTTCTACTTGAGTAGAGAAGCTCTTAAAAGTTTTGACCAGGAAAGTTAAATTCTGACATACATTTTAGAAGGATTTCTACAGGTGTCAAATGGAGGCTAAACTATAGGAAGGCAAATATAGAAGCGTGTAGAACAATTAAGACAAGTACAGTGAGGAACCGAATAACGCTGTATAGGTAGGTGATGAGGACTGATTAGATTTAACATACCCTTTTAAAAGAGAGCCAACAGATTTTGCTGAGGATTGGATGTGGAATGTTAGAGGAATCAGAGGATAACCCAAACAATGTTACGAATCCAATGCCATTTGTTGAAATGGTGAGATATGCAACAGGAAGCATGTTTTGGAAGTAGAAAAAACAGAGTTTGGCACACACGTTAAATATCCTAGTAATGTGCTAGATGAGAAGTTGGAGATGTATGTAGAGTAATCAGAGAAGTCAGGGCTCGATATGGATATTTGGAAGCCATTAGCATAGTCAAGTTGTGTAAAAAAAAAAAAACAATGAAGGAAATAAATGAGATCACCAGGGGAATGATGAGAACAGATAAAGAGGGGACTAGGTCCGAAGTATAGTAACATTCAGAAGTCAGGAAGAATCAAGCAAAGGAGAATCAAAAGAGCACTGTGATTTCACACAAGTGAAATGAATAATGTCTATCAAGTTTCAAGAAAAAAAGATGTATTTATTATGTCAAACGCTGCTGAAATGTTAAGATGAAGATTAATAGTCGCCCCTTGGATGTCTCAGGATTGTTTAAATGCCCAGATATCCACACACAGTCTCCTTTCATTCTAACATTTAAACTACATAAGAGGTCTCACATTTTTTTTTTATATTTTATTTATTTATTCATGAGAGACACGGGGGGGGGCGGGGGCGGGGGCAGAGACACAGGCAGAGGGAGAAGCAGGCTCCATGCAGGGAGCCAATCACGCCCTGGGCCAAAGGCAGACGCTCAAGACGCTCAACCACTGAGCCACCCAGGTGTCCCCAGGTGTCACATTCAAGTGTGCATCAGAATTAAAGATCTAGACTTTATTCTTCACATCTTGTAGTAAGTACTTTGTGGGCCATGTAAAGGATTTTCGTGGGCAATTTTCACTATCAGGAATTTTCCCTTCAAGGCTGCGTTTAGAGCTAAAGTCCTCTGAGGCACGTGACTTCAGGTTTCCACACCTGTTTCCCGTTCATCCCGCTAGCATTCAGGGGGTAGGAAAAAGAGCAGGGTCAGAGAGCCTAACCCTAATTTCCTACTTTAGAAGTGATAAATTTTGAAGTAAATTTAATCTTCCAAATTTAAACTTTCTGACCTTCGTGTTCCCCCCCCCGCGAGGCTGAATGGACTGTGCAAAGCTGAATAAAACACGAGTGGAGGGGATCCCTGGGTGGCTCAGCGGTTCAGCGCCTGCCTTTGACCCAGGGCGTGACCCTGGACACTGGGGGTCGAGTCCCGCGTCGGGCTCCCTGCATGGAGCCTGCTTCTCCCTCTGCCTGTGTCTCCGCCTTTCTCTGTGTCTCTCGTAAATAAATAAAATCTTTAAAATATATGTATTAAAAAAAAAACAGGAGTGGAAAAGTGAGCAACTGGCTGCACGGCCGGTCCCGCAACTGCTTTGTAATTTTCTCGTGGGAGAATGACAATTCACGGTGGTCCGGTCCTCTAAGGCTACTCAGGAAACGGGCTCGCTCGTTTTAGGGAGGAAAAAAAAAAAAAAAAAGGAGGGTGCGGGAAAGGCGAGCAGGGCCCGCGGGGACAGCACAGGACGACTCTTACCTCCCACAGGCCCGGCTCTCCCAGCCCACCTAGCTCCGCAGGAACCACCCCAGCGAGCACGCTCCGCCCACTTCCGGATCGCCGCCGCCGCCGTCGCATGCGCAATGACGTTTCAGTCGCCCGCGGACCCCGGAAGTGCGGCTGGAACTTGGTCGGGGCGCGGATCCCGAGAGGGAAAGTCATAACAACCGCACGAGGGAGTTCGTCTGGCGAGCTGGAAGGCCACGCCTCCTCCCGCCTCCCCCCGCAGCCCTGTAGCTGGGGGCAGAGCTCAGGTAGGACGTGCGTTTGCGGGGATGTGCGCTCCCGGGCCAGGCCCGGGCGGAAGTCCGAGGGACCGACCGGCCTGGTCGGTGTCGGGCGGGGGCCGTGGGCCCCGGCGCCGCGGGCCGCCCGCCGCTCGCGCTGCGTGCCCTGCGCGCAGGTGTCCCCACTCCTGGGACCCCGCCCAAGGCCGGGTTCCACCTACCACCTCCACTGAGGAGGCGCGGCGGGGCACGCGTGTGCCCTGGGTGACTGTCCGTACTGAGCGAACCGGTGGGGTTCGGTGAGCCCTGGAGACCGTACAGTAACGGGCCCTGGTTTGCTCTCTCCGGAGGGACGGTGTTTATTGTCTGATTAAACTTTTTTTTTTCCCCCTGCAAAACTTATGATCAGCCGCTCAAGCTTTACCAGATGTCATTCACTACAGACGGGAAATTAAAGTGCTGTTACAAAATTCTCTCAAAACTTGTTACATGTATGTATGGGCGCTGATGGGACAGTTGACTGGGATGGATTTTTAGACTTTTGACTTTGAACTTAGGCGTCTATGGAAAGCGCTCTTCTCTTTCCCTCAGCCAGAGATCTAACGTGTTCTCTAATGCTCCAGAGTGTGGAACCTGTTGGGCCACGGGATTGGTTATTTAATTTTTTTCTATATTTATTAGCAGCTAGTGTTCCTGCGTTTGTGTATTTCCCCCAAATCCTCGGAGAGGTTGTAGAGGGGAAAATCCTGTGCTCTTTCGGACTAGCAGCTGCCTTGTCATGTTTATTAAAATAGATGCAATGTGCTGTTTGTTAAGCAATGCATGGTACCTTTTGGTCTTAAAGCAGTGTTAGAGGTAGCTTCGTTATCCTTTTTTTTTTTTTTTTTTAAGATTATTTATTTACTTATTCATGAAAGACACAGTGGCAGAGACACAGGCAGAGGGAGAAGCAAGCTCCATGCAGGGAGCCGACGTGGGACTTGATCCTGGGACTCCAGGGTCACGCCCTGAGCCTCCCAGGGATCCCTAAATTCTTTATCCTTACTCTTTATTCCATATTGTGAGAGACGAATACACTGTATTTATTTAGAGTATTTAGAAACTGAGAGAGCAAGCACTGTTTGAAGTGCCTAATTAAGGTATTACGGTTCCAGGCTCCCACATGACTTTTATTTTTTTGAGTAATGTAATGTGTTTTGTTTTACAATGAAGATTTCAAAAAACAAAACAAAAACCAAAAGCAAAGTTACAAGAGAAACTGGGAAAAATATTTACATTTCATATTATGAACAAAGAATTAATTGTCCCCAAACATAAAGATTATCTTCTACAAACCGCTAAAAATACCAACAACCCAGTAAGAAAATGAAGACAGGTTCCCATCACAGGAAATACATCTAGCCCTTCAAAACTTAAAAGCAGTTTGGTCTTGCTCCTATAAAGATAATGGAAGAGTACTTCTAGTTCCCTTGAAAATCTAAGATCTTTTTCGCTTTCTGGCCTAAAACCTGTCCAGGACTGCCTTATCTACTCAGGTGTTCATGTTTTTTATTGACATGGAATCATACTGTCTTGATTTATTAGCCATATTTTTTCCTACATCAAAATCAGTTTTGAGAATCTAGTGAAACTGAAGCACCTATTTCTTGTCCTTCCCTACCGCTAACTATGCAGTATTTCATTCTGTAAAGAAACCACAGCTGATCCGTCCTTGAGGCTGTTCTGGTTATTTATGAACTAACCTAACAGCTTTGCCCCTGCCCCACATGAATGTGTCCTAGGAGAATACAAACTTAGAAGTGGTTTCACAGTAGTGACTTTCAAGATTATTCAGTTGGCCTTCTCAAAGTTTCATACCTAACAAAGCTAGAAACATGCAAACCAGATTTTAGGGAGTAGGGATTTGCAAACATGTAAACCAAATTTTAAGGAGTAAGAATTTGTTGAGGTGGGAATAGGAGCAGGGGCAATCTGTTAAATTAGATGTTCCTTCCACTTTAATCATTCCCGTTCTGGATGGCTTTGAGGCCGTGGCTGGTGGCTGTTGCAAGGCCAGTAGAATGGTGGATAGTAGAATAGCAGAATAGTACCAAGACCAAGAAGGAAATACGATGTTACGCAGTGAGCCTCCATCTATTCATTCATTTAACAAATATTTATTGGCCACCTTCAGTGTGCCAGGTGGTGTTCTAAGTGATGGGGGTACAGTAGGGAACAAAATAGACAAAGTCCTTGTGCTCCTGGAATTTTACACTGTAGAGGGTGGAGAAAAAAATGAGCAAGTAAACCTGTACATTGGGTAGTGATAAAAGCTGTGAAAAAAATAAAGCTCTTTGGGGGTGGAGGTGGTGTGGGAGAATTACAGAGGATACTATCTTACACAGGATTGTTAAGCTTAGCCGCTCTGATAAGGGAGCATATGCATAGACATCTGAATGAAATGAGAGAGAGAACTCTGCAGGTGTGTGGGGATGAATGTTTTAGGATAGCATAAGGTGGTGAGACAAGAGAATGTTTGGTGTATCTGAGAATAGCGGTGATGTAGGCATGGATGCATTAGGGTTTAAAAATCTTGAAAGTGAGTATTCAGTGGTTTGGTGTGTGCATGAGAGATCTTATTTATTGAAGACTATTTTTATTTATTTATTTGAGGTGGGGGGCAGAGGGAGAGGGAGAAGCAGACTCCCCACTGAGCAGGGAGCTCAATGTGGGGCTGGATCCCAGGGCCCTGGCTGGGATCATGACCTGAGATGATGGCAGACACTTAACTGACAGAGCCACCCAGGTGCCCAAGACTATCTTTTTCAACTTAGGGATGTTTCCATGTGCTTCAATGGCACTAATGAAGTTAAGCACCGTTTACTTAGTTGATACATTACTTGTACTGTTTTAGTCAGATAAGGTTTCCACAGTAACCGTGGATAACTAAGTAGCAAGTACTTCTCTGCCCTGTTGTAAACTTTACTTTTCATTCATCTTTTATATTGTGGTAAAATATACATAACATAAAATTTACCATTATAGCCATCTTAAAAAATATATATCAGTGGTACTAAGTATATACACACTGTTCTGCATTCATCACTGTCATCCATTTCTAGAACTCTTCAGCTAACTCAACTGAAAACCCATATCCTTTAAACATTAACTCTGTTCCCCCCCTCCCCTCAGCCCCTCACAACCACTGCTTTACTTTTTGTCTCTGAATTTTCTTTCTCTACTCAAGGTAACTCATATGAATGAAATCATACGATACTCTTCCTTTTGTGACTGGCTTATTTCACTCAGCACTGTATTTACAGGTTTGACCCATGTTGTGTCTTGTTTCCTTTTTAACGTTGACTACTATTCCATTGTATGTGTATTCTACATTTTTAAAAGTTATTTTGATTATGGGTGCTTGTGTTGCTTTCACCTTTTGCTTACTGTGAACAAGGTTGCTCTGAACCGGAGTGTGCAAATATCTGTTTGAGTTTCTGCTTTCATGTCTTTTGGCTATATACTCCAAACTGAATCAAATGTCAATTCTGTGTTTAATTTTTTGGGAATCACCTTACTCTTATTGACAGTGGTTGTACTAATTTACATTCCTACCAGCAATGAACAGAGGTTGCAGTTTCTCTACATCTTCAGTACTTTTTCATGTCTTTGCCAAATTCATTTTCTCTTTTTTCTTTTTTTTTGTAGATAATAATCATCCAAATGGGTGTGAAGTAGTGTCTCCTGTCATTTTGATTTGCATTTTCCTAATGATTAGAGGTGTTAAACATCTTTTCATATTCTTTGGGGCCGTATGTATATCTTCTTTGGAGTACTGTTCATTTACTCTTTGGACTATTTGTTTATTTTAAGATCTGCTTTTAATAGAAATTTTTGGATTTGTGTGTGTGTGTGTGTGTGTGTGTGTGAATCTTTTAAGGGTTAAGAAGGAAGCCATCCTGTCTTCGGTAATTTTTTTTTTTTAAACCCTAGTATACTAGAGTTGTAAGAACTTAAGTTACATATAGACTAAGTATCTCAAGTAACTCTAAAGGTAGAAATAAAAGAGACCATAAAGCATCTTTTGTAACAATGAATGAACTTTTAAGTATCAGATTGTGATAAAAACAGTTCAGAAAAGCCAGGGACCTTTCTAACTTGCTTTGACTTTTTTTTTTCCCCCCTTTTTAATTAGAAGGAAAGGAGTGTATTGATTGGTTGACTGTGCCTGTGAAGTCAGTCTCTTTTTTCTGGGAGCTGGAGGCTGAAAACAAATAGAAGAGACAAAAATGGTGGAACAGGGGCACCTGGTTGGCTCAGTCGGTTAAGTGTCTGACTCAGATCATGATCTCAAGGGTTGTGAAATAGAGCCCCACACTGGGATCTGTGGGCTCCTGCTTAAGATTCTTTCTCTTCCTCTGTTCTCTCCCCCACCTTCCACCTATTGGATAGCAATATAGCAATGGGATGTGAGTAGGTGGGAAGTGGCAAAGGACTCAGTAACAGTAATGGACAATAAGCAGCAAAACTGCAGCAGAGGAGGTAAGATTCAGCAACAAGGTGACAGAAAGTCATAGAGCTTTTCAGATGGGAATGGGATGGGGGATAGAGAGAGCAAATCACCAGCTACATCTCAGCATATAGTTCTGGAGTCAGCCTTTTGGCCTCGAGTATAGTTCAGTAAGACTACTGTGTATCAGTACAATGTGTCAGTTCAGCTGGCTCAGTAGTCAATGTTTGGAAGGTGTGCAGTGTATACAGTCCTATAGGAATAAACTAAGTTTTGCAGACAATATATCACATTACTTCCATGCATAGAATAATGAGGTTTAATTGAGTAATTTAGGGGCGACTAGG